AGTGTGACATTTGACATTGAGATTCCTGAAAACACGCCATAAGCTGAGTGTAATTATCTAAGGGATACTAGTACCTCAGCCTGAAGCTTTAAATCTGTTGACCATCAGTGGGTGTTTTTCTGTGGCTTAATGCTCCCTTCATTTGTATCGATGCCCGCAAATGAGTGTTGAAGCGTAAGGTAAGAAACCAGCAGGATGAACTCCACTCCGACCTGTGTTGTTCTGGCCCAGCTTCGTGCAGCGTATCTCAGCTGCAACCACTGCATGCAAAAAATGCCCTCTTTCTGCTTTGCATAACTGCGCCGTTTGCATCTCGAACACGGGAGAGGAAGGAGTGCCGGCTGTGGTTTGCAGAGCGCCTGGTGGTGACGATTTGCATTCGTGTTTCCTCTCCGTTGTCCCGTTCGCCGTGCTGCGCCGACCGCTTTTCTTGACACTTGCTAACCAGCTGTCCACCTGCCGCACGCGAGGTACGATGGGGTCATGAAATCCCGGATAGGTTTTGGTTTGTCCTTCAGGCTTTGATATGTGTATATATAAGTATAAAGGAAGCTCGAATGCGGCGTGGATTTTAAAATTCAGCTAAATAACCAGAAACTCTATCTGGTACACTAATAATTCCTCTATGCACTTCTGGTGGACTGGAATTCAGGAGTAACATGGTTTCAAAAAGTCACAATCGGACAGCATCCCCCACGCATACCAAACACTCCCCCATCGTCTGCCTGCTGACCTGCAGTGTCGTACTTCTGTCATTGTGTGGATACCGTTTGTTTTCTCTGGTAGAAACTCGTCACATGTATTGCAGCTCTGATGGTTTGAATATGACCTTATGTGTTTTTTTTTTATATTATTATAAGCCGAAGCTTTGAATGCAGCAACATTGCTATTAATTTATTATACTGCATTGTTCATGTTTTCAGGATCAAAAAAAAAAACTGAGTAGTAAAAAATATTGACTGATGATTTTTGGTTTTTTTGCAGTTGTGGGGTACTTTTAACTTCTAAAGGATGGTTTTGTCATTTAGCTGTATCTAACCAGGAAGAGCTAATTATTTAGCATGTGTCATATGGGACGTGCCCTGGCGCAACTTGCTGAAGACGTCCGAACTAACAGGCAACCTGTTTGTTCCTATTGCGTTTGTAATATCATTAACATCTCATTGTGGAATGCACTGGGCCCCACAACTGGGGCTGTGCTTCTTGTGTTATATGTCCTGTGTGCCGCTCGCCCATGCTACTGGAAAGGGCCCCACCGGCTTGCTCTTTTGTGGACACTGCTAGGTTTTATGATTTAAATTTTTAAATGTTGGTTTTCAAAATTAATGTGCAGAGCAGCAGCAGCACAGTTGAAAAATATTAGAATTTCTATCCACCTGCGGTGTGTGGCCACTGCTTTGTGATTTCTGTTCAGTCTACGTTTCCTGTGATGCTTAAAATCAGCATTAGCCATGAGATCATCCCCAGAGGCTGTGGAACAACTGGGAGATGGAAGGAATAATTTAGAGACTTAACATTGTACAAGCCACAGTGTGATTTTGTGCATAACTGTTCGTCTTAATTGGGCTGCTTGTGAGTTAATCTTTTTGTGATTTGTTTGGGGATGTTGTAAGTCATTTGTCACCTTCAGCTGCTGAGTACATTTTTATGCATTGCATCATGTTTAGCAGCTCAGCAGGTAGGTCTGTGGCCTCACACTTCAGCGATACCCGCTGCGTGCTGGTTCCGCGTTTCTTAGACTTCATGTTCACTGCAGCCCTGCATCGAAAATGCAGTGTGAGATAGATGTGGGGTGTGCTTCACAGCTGGAGGTTCTACCTGTTTTACAGTAACCTTTCAAGTTAACAAGAGGTATGTGAAACATTCAAGAGGCAGGTTACTGTTGAAGGGCTGCTTGCTTTTTTGAAAAAGATCTTTCCTTTATATTTCTGATACCTTTTCTTTATAATTTTTTCATACTGAAGTCTGGTCAAGCCTGCAGTGAATTTTGGAGAAGTATGGAAGATGCGTGGCCAGCTTCACTGGCAGAAATTCAGGTGGCAGGGTTATTTTCTGCTTGGAAGTGAAACCTACGCTCCCCTGTCAGAGTAGTTAGCAACAGGACACGCACATGTATGGCTACATGTGTGGCTACATGTGTATAGTGGTGACATTTACCCAGGATACTGTGAATACTTCGGGATCATTAAGCCGTATGGTCGCTGGGAAAATTCAGAAACCTAAACAGTAAATTCTCTTACATACCTTGAATTTTCACACTTTTATGTGAATTTAATTAAGTAGTTTGCATTTTGGTTTAAAGATGGGGGGGGGGTAATCTGACATTTAGTGTTGTTCTGAAGTGATGTTATGACCGGCACCTCGTTCAAGCTTTTCACTTTGTTACATTTCTCCTAAGTAGCCATTTTTCTGAGCACCATCTTGGGGTCAATCAATGTGAACCAAGTAGTGCCATTATGCATGTTTTTGTGAGTGATGGTACAGCTACGTTTCCTGCTGGTGTGATGGGGACCTGGTGAACTACAGACAGGAATCCCTTCCACAAAAATAGTGCCGGTCGTTATGAATGCCAGCCTACCTGCACTGGCCTGGTGATCTGACCGCTTGGCCACCAGAGGGCGTTCCTAGATCTCCGCCTGTGCTAGTGCAGGTGTGCCATTTGCCGCAATGGTGCTAAGTACGAGGGAGGAAGGTAAGGCAGGTCATGTCTGCCAAATATTTAATATGGAGGAGGTGACATCTATGACGTGTTTAACTATTGCACTGTCCCTCTTCCTAAACCTTCACAGTGTTCTGCTTCGCTTGTAAGCTGGGAAGCTTGTGAGGGGGAAGCTAGTACGGTGCTTAGTGTTCCCCATATTCCTGGCTTTAAGGGATCGTCATCTTAGGTTCCATTTCTGTTCTGTACTTACTGAAAAACGCATTAGGCATGGAGCTACACGAGTGTTAAGCTTATTCCACTACTAACTGTAATCTCGGTGCTTCTTGCCATGGCAACATAAGAAGCAACAATTTTACAGAATTTTACTAGATTTTCTCCTTTATGGAAGATTCGGGATCCGCAGGGATGTAAACCTTGCACACCTGATGCATGTCGGGATCTCGGGTTATGAAGCCAGGGGCTTGCTGGGTTGGGATCAGCCACATAGAACAGGTGTAATCTTAATAGGATTTGGCCAGAGGAATTGAACTGGTGGTTTCTGGGATTAGCAGCTGATGCCAGGAGGAGAGCTTGTGGGTCTTTGGTGGGTGGGAAGGGTTGCCATGTCAACCTTCATGGAGTGTAACACAATCACTGCAGCAGCTAGCTGAGCCAGAAGACACAGGCATTTCTTTTAAAGGGGGGGTTGTTTACCTGAACGTAGTCCAACTGCAGAAAAACGTGTGAACCGCAGGGGTGTGTCCCCAGACCCAGCAATGCTTAATACACCCCTGGAAAGGTTGCCACCTGCTGTCCAAAAAGGGAATCACACTGAAGGAAATTACACAACTAGTGCTGCAAAAAAGGATTATTTTTATAATCGATTAATAATTTCATTAGGCAATCAACTAATTAGTTGGGTCAGAATACCGGGTTTAGAGAAAAAAGGAAATGCTTTATTTAAAAAAATCAGCAAGAGGTATCTTTAAGTCTGTAATTAAAAATTAATACATGGGTGAGAATCTAGGGGTGTAACAGTTTTAAAAATTCACAGTTTGGGGCTGACCTCAGTTTTGAGTATAGCTGCATATCGGTACTGACCTCAGTTTTGAGTATAGCTGCATATCGGTACTGACCTCAGTTTTGAGTATAGCTGCATATCGG